TGCGTAGGCGGCCTTCGGCCGCACTTAGGGATTATAACTCTCAGGCAGTAGAATTCTCCTTTCTGTGTTGCCAAAGAAGGGGGGCTGAACACCTTTTGCAGAGAACACCTTTCTGCGTAGGCGGCCTTCGGCCGCACTTAGGGATTATAACCCTCAGGCAGTAGAATTCCCCTTTCTGTTTTGCGAAGAAAAGGAGCTGAACACCTTTTGCAGAGAACACCTTTGTATATTTTTAATGCTTACTGGGTTATATCCTATCTTCTTTTGTCTCTCATTCTTTTGCATATTTTGGAGTTTGACAGCTGAACTCCGCCATTTAATTTGCATATGCAACCAAAGTCAGACGCGTGATTTTGAAGGTGTTTTTATTTAATGAATTGGTTAATATTAAAGTCGTAAAGCAAGTTATAACAAATCAAGTAAAGTGTAAAGTGAAGGGGAATACAAAAATATATTGGTGAAGTGGCTAATTTAAGCAGAATAGGATTGATAAATGTACGCTAATTTCCGAACTTTACAAAAAAAGGCATATTTCAAACCCAATTTGTAAATAAATTAGTAACCAAAATTTACAAAAGTGAGTGTTAAAATATTGCGTGGACGCTTGACTACAAGTGTGAGAAATTTTTTTCGGATCGGACCACCCATTTGGACGGAATAGCCCGAAATAGTTGTGAGCGGTACTAAACCCCACCCCAATACCGATTTGGGGCATGTGTCCGGTTGGCATTTCGCATTGATTTTATTTAGCGTTCGAATTGTGTACAACTAATTTGTTGTTTAATAAATGCGCTAAAGCTTTGTTATAAAACCGCGTAGGTACTAGTACTTGCTGCTGCGTTGCGATAATACCTAGTGGATGCTTCATTCAACACCGTTGCTTTGTTCTGTACCGTTCAACATTTGAGCGAATTCGAAATCCCCTAGGTATGAAAGAAAATTAGACTTATTGACTTATTGAAATTATTATATTACAACCTTCTCTTTGAACGCGCAATAAAGCCAAATGGCCAAACGTCCAAAGAATGTTCGGTTGGAAGGAGCCGTCCTCGCAATCCGCCAAGTGAATTTAAGAACTCTGGCTTCAATGGTCGCCATCCACTTTATCATCTTCATCGGGGCAAAATTTATTTGAAGTTCAGCCGACCGCCTAAGCCAGAAAAATCTGAAATATAAATAAAACATTGAGCTGAACTAATTCAAGCAAGGCACTAAATTATATCAACCACAAATTTACACAACTTACTGTTCGCCTCGTGGAAGCTTTATTTTCCTTAATAACATTTTATTCATTGTGGATATTGCAAAGTTGGTTGCAGGTGATTAGAGAGGAGTTGTCAATGCGAGTGATAGAGATGTGCAACAAAACTCGAATCCCGGGTTGTTTCATTTTGCTATTTGGTTAATTAATGGAAATGCGTCCGTTTCGGGTTTAATAATTTTATTGTTTCAGTAAAATAAATAAAAACCCATCTAATAATTTTTTAATTTTCGGAAGAATTTTTTATTTATAAGGGCTTAATTTATTTGTGCACCATAGTAAATTTTTCCACCCCGTCTCATCACGGAGAAAAAGTTACCGGTTGGCACACAGCCTAACTCTGAAAAGATTTATAAAAGATAAAAAGAGAACCGGTTCTTTTGACAAGGGCGTACACCTCTAGCTAGCAACGGCGCCATCTGTTGTTCGCGAGCAGAGACCAAAGATATAAGAATCGATGGAATGGGAAATTACGAAAGTACATACGTGCAGTTTGGACGGGGTAAACGGTGAAAACTTGAAAATACATTTCAAAACATTTGTGGTACAAGTTATAGCATTACACTCTACTATTACCGGGTGGCGGGAAAAGGTCACCATAATTACTGTGTAATCTTGTATTTACTCGTTCGGGGAATGGCTTTCAAATTTCTCACTCGTATGATTTGCTACGCTTACGATTTTTGCTTTGCTTTTTCCATATTTACCTAAACACATAATATTCTGCGAACAAACTTACATCCGTAAACTGTGATCGATTGAAAGGAAAATTGTTTTCAAGCTGTTGGCAATTCGTAGATACGTGTGTGAGCGTGTAAACGCCACTTTTAAACTCATTAATACATTCACGATATTAATGTTACGATTATAGCTCGTCGGCGATTTCAAGCATCCGTTGTTGGTTACCCCAGCAACGAGTACATGTGTGAGTGTCGGGTTGAATGTCGGGTGCTTGAAGCTTGCCCGGCGACACTCAAGCATAAAGCGTCAACACCATTTCCAATAATAATAATAATAATAATAATAATAATAATAATTTGCTCATTTTACATATCACAACAAACTAACACACTAATGCTTGTCAACGCTTTGCGCCACTATCAAACAGACCGCTTGTCAAGCGGTCGCGTTGATGGAAAATCAAAAATTTTTGATTTTCCATCAACACGAGCCCCAAAAAGTCTTTGGGGAATTTGTATGCTGCTACAACAACAACAACAACAAGTACGTGTGACACGACGATCTCCGATTGCCTCGGTTGCTGGGGTAACCAACAACGGATGCTTTAAATCGCCGACGAGCTTATCCTCGAAACCTTGAAGGCCGGTCCACATAGAACTTTCGCGTTGGCTTTGGCGTTGGCGTTGGTTTGACAGAACGCACGTTAAAAGAATGCTTGCTACAATGAACGCTTGGCAGCGAATGCTTGGGCGACTAAATTAACATACTAACGACAGATAAATTAATATTTAATATCAATAATTGCATTAAAAACGATATTTCTGGCCTGCACTTGATTAAAAAGGGAAAATATTTCACACAATTTTATTTATTTGCAACAGCTGACGAGCAACGCACGCGAAAAGATGAGAGTTGGCCATCTTTTTGCTTTGTGTTGGCGTGAGCGTTGCCGAATTTTGGCTATGTGGACGGCTGCACTTGAATTCATGTATTCATAGTCAGCTGTTGAAGCGACGCCAACGCCAACGCAACGCCAAAGTTTTATGTGGACGGGCCTTGAGGGATTTCCCAAATATACTCGGGCTCGTATCGCTGGATTGTTAAATAAATGCTAACGATGACCAAATTGTAGTACAATTAACTTTATTGTACAACAAACAATTT